TTATTTTGGAAGAGGACCTGGAGTCATTGGAAAAAGTGTCTTGCTAGGTTTCAAGGCATGTTGGTAACATCATCTGGCCAACTTTTAGGCTATTTCCACTCCTTTCTCTCTGCCTCCTTTGGAGGAAACACCCTTGGGTGCCCCAGACTGTGTGTGCCCAGTCCCTCAGGGCCTCCTTGTGTTTTGCTGACAGTCAGCAAGCAGATAACCATTGTTGCAGCACTGACAGCCACAGCGTAGCCTTGGGTCTGATACCTCCTTCTCCCATCCGTGGCACAGCAGCACCAAGTCCATCTCTGCTCCCCCTGGCTCAGAGGGCTGGTTGAAACATGATTAATTCCTCCAGCGGAGATAAAATAGCTATTGTATAGCCAGGGGGTGGAGGGATTTACAGAAAGGGGAGGATTTCTTAAAGCTACAAAAGGAGCAGCAGTTCAAGCATTACCTGGGCACTTTTTATGTCCAGTTAGAGCCAGCCTGGTGCTCCATGATCCCACGCTCAACTTTGGCAGCCCGTGGCACATCAGTGCAGATAGATACCTACATCATCATTGCTGGCCTGACTGTGCTGTGCAGGATCAGCCCTCCATGGCCCCAAGGTAGCCCTTCAGCCCATGGAGATGGGCTGGAGTCTGGGACAGTTTGATTGGGCAGGGGTGTTCCTGGTTTTCCAAGCCAGGCCCTAAGTCTTCATACAGCTGAGAGCTGCAAGGAAAAGTATTTTCTCTGCCAGGTAGCAAAGTTGCCATCGTGCCAGAAGCCCTGCTCCAGCCCCTCTCCTGGGTGAAGATGCTAGATGAAAAAGGTGTGGCTGCAGTGGGCTCTGGTGGGGCTAGATAAATCCACCAGGGACACAAACCACAGCACTGGGGTGGCGAAAGCCGTGCAACTCCCAGCGTTCAGCTGCATGAGTGGAAAATCATGGCAGTGAGCACAACAAGCCAGACCTGGGTAGCTGTGACATTTAAAAACAGAACAAAAAAAGCAGATGAGGGGTGCAGCAGGGCAACCTCACCTGCTGTGGTGTATCCCCTATGGTCTGGGATGAGAAGAGTGCAGGGTGGCTGGGTCCCAGGGATGCTGTGGGACCAGGGAGGCTCGTTGCCCCATGGCCCTCCATGGGTGCACTTGGCTTTGCGGCAGCATGGTTGGGAAGCTGGGCCTCAGCACATGGCGCTCGTGGGCAGTGACCCTGCACCTCGTCGGGCTGGGCATCCCCCAGGAATTTGCAGCTGCTTTCTGAAGACAGCCTCATTCATTTTCCTCCGCCAGGGCCTCTACTCTGACGGCTCCCTGGAGGCAATGGCGGGAGGGAAGGAGGAAAGGGGGCCGCTGCATGTTGGAAAAGCATTTGCTGAGCAGGCACTGAGGGGCTCTGGCCCCGAGGGCAGAGGTGGCGTGAGCAGGGGAGAGAAGGAAAACACAGGTGCTGTTTTGTGAGCCGGCAGAGCTGTGGCCCAAGGGCTGTGAGGTGGGAGTGGGGTGGGGGGATGCACTTGGGGATGTGCGAGCAGGAGGGAGGCTGGAGGGCTGTGCCTGTCCCAGTGGGGTGAGAAGGAGCTGGTGGTGTCAGCACCAGTGCTCAGGCTCCTGCGATCCTGAGCAGACTGACCGGAGAGCTGTAACTCCAGGCTGCTTTGACAGCTGAAGGGGGATTAGTGGAAGGTGCTTTCCCCCAGGCTAGGGGACCCCTGTCCCTGCCCATTCCCCTTCTCGGGGTCCCTGCCTTCCCTCCCTCCCCCTTCCCTACAGCAGGGAGGACTTTCACCTTGAGGGCTGGCATTTTATTTACTACTGCTTCTTCTCCAAAGTTATTTATGGTCTCTCTTTCATTTAAGCCAGTCTGTCTCGCCTGCCTTGTTGCTTGGCCCCCAGCCCTAGGATTCAGCTGGTTTCCCTCCCCACTGACAGTGATGCAGCTCGTCACATGGCTGACCCTCCCCGTGCCCCAACTCACCCCATTGTGCCTCAGAGCGGTGCGCAGATGGACACAAGCACAGCCTTTGCTTGTGCTCCCTTCTAAACAAAAAAGGGGGGGGAAAAAAAATTAAAAAATACACCCTGTTGTCCCAGCCCAGCTGGGACAGCGCTCTGTCTGTCTGCAGCACCTCCCAGCCAGCGGCTGGTGGGTGAGGACTTGCTGCTTCCCTGTGATCAAGCATGTCTTTTAAGGACAAGGACATGGGCTGGCACGCTGGGTGCCACCATATGAAAAGGAAAATCCAGCCAGCAGAGAGGGGATGTGGTTTCTCCCAGCTGCAGTGGGATTCAGGCTTGGGGTGCAAATTGCATGTTAGATGAGGGGCATGGCTGCTGCTGGCCGAGCAGCTGAAGGGGCGAGCGCTGCCTCCTCGCTGGCACTGACCCTCTCCTCCACCCCTCTGCACTTCAGTGCCTGGCGGGGGGAGGCGTGCCTGACCCCTGCATCTCAGGGGCGGTTCATTTGAAGCCCCCAGGATGAAGCTGGGTGTCTCAGCCCAGTGACGCACCCTCCATTTTTCTGTGCTGGGGCCAAGTGGGATGGGGTGGGGTGGGGGGGGAGCTTGTCCCATGCATGGAGGAGGCTGGGGGTACTCCTGAGCACCCCTCGCCAGCTCTGGCTGACCCACTGATGTTAATGGATAGCTGTATGTGCCTGCACCAGCAGGGAGCAGGGTGGTTGAGACCGCCCGTGGCCAAAATCCACTGGCAAATAAACCAGTCTTGTTTGCTGTGGGGGAGCAGGAATTTAGGGAGTAGTTTGGCAGGAAACTTGTACACTTGCGTATTGGAAAATAGCTTGTCCTAGTGCCCACCTGATGTTTTTCCCTTCTCCCCTCCTTGTTTTGCTCCAGCAGTGCCCAGTTCTTGCTCCCCCAGCCACCCTAGGATCCCTTTCTGTCCTTTCCCCCTCCGTCCACAGCTTTGCCCCTCGTCCAATGTGACCAGGCTGGGAGGGGAAGGCAGGAAGATCCAGGGGTCCTGCTCCCCACCATGGGGCTGCGGCACTCAGCTGTGGGCTGAGCGGCCGTCTCAGGGGCTGCACATGAGGGACCCACGTGTCCACCCAGCCCAAGGTCATCTCGGGGATCCCCCAGCATGGGAACATCATTTTCCAGCTCCGAGAGCATGGTGCTCACCGATGGGCTCTGTTGTGCTTTTCCTCTGGGCTCCTGGGCCCCTTCTCTCCAGGGTCTGTGTATGCATATGTCTGTGTGTACAGATCCCTGCCAGCAGTGCTGGAGCCTATGCCTTGGCTCTGAAATCTTAATTTGGCTGTGATGAATCCAGACCACCAAGGCGCACATTAATTTTCCTGATGCTCGTTTATATTTTGTTGATCAGAGAAATATGCGTGATGTGGGCAAGCAGACACTGGGCTCTCGCCTCTTCTCTACCTCTTTCCATTTCTGTGGCCCTTACTATTTTATTCCTTGATCAAATATAAAAAGCAAAGAGGAGAAAATATCCAGCACCCTTCCCCTGCCCAGCAGCAACTTTCATTGTCGGAGGAGAGTGAGGCATTGCCAGCTTTTCACAAGTTAAGAGTTAACCTTCATCTGGCTTTAATACCCAGTGGAAACATGGCTCCCCTTCTCGGCTTGTCTTAAAGGATTAATCACATTTCTGAAGTTCACCCCTATTCCTTCTTTTTATTATTATTTTTTTTTTAATTGAACAATGCCAAGAAATTCCAGAAGTATTAAGTATGTTTGCTGCAAATCATTTTTATGACATTGCAAAACCTCCCCTTTTCTTTTCAACCTCCTCCCCTTCCCTCAGATCTGGGCCCGGGAACACTGGCTCCCCTGGCAGCCACCCGGCAGCCCCTCCGCACCACGCTCAGGGAGGCTCTCTCGCCGCTTTGCCAAGAGAGCTGGTTTTTATTTAAACTCCATAAAGGATGCTGGTTTTTATTTAAACTCCATAAAGGATCTTGCTTTAATCAGAAAGTCTGCTTGAGAAATTTCATGTCACTTTTCCATGACTGTGGGTGGGAGAAGCTTGGAGCCAGAGTTGTCTTTTGCTCTTGGAGTGCTGTTGCATTTCCCAGAGAACAAAAACCACATTTTTCTGCTGGCTGGGGCTGCCAAGGGAGGCTGCCTGCCGTCCACCCGCCGCCAGTCCTCCTGCTTCCCCCCAGCTCTCCAAACTGCCCGAGGTCGCGGGCGCCACGTCCTGGGATGGGTTTTGGGGGGCGAGGGAGCTGTTGACAGCGCATGGCCGTGCCATGGTGACGGGGTGTGACGTGCTGCTTTAGCGTGGGGTTTTGAAAAGAAAGTGTGGTCTCATCCCGCTTTAGTGGCTTGGGAGACAGACATGTGTTAGTGCTGACTCCTGGGGAAGATGGGCCTGCTTGAGCCTTGATGCAACAACATGACTTGCAACCGACTGTGGGATGTGCAGTTGTCGCTAGTGGTCGCCTGGGCTGGTGCACGGCACTGTAAAAATGCATGCACAGGACTTTTTTTCTTGGCACAAAACCTTCTTCCTCCCAGCACTGGCTGACCAAGACAAACTTTGGGCTTGCAGTGCCCCGGCAAGATTTGCCATCATGCCCAGGGAGAGCGGGAACCAGTTTCATCTCTGGGAAGCTTGGCGAGGCCAGGCTGGCGTGTTCCCTTGCCCTGCCAGATCCACGGGGTTTTGCTGTGGTTCTCTGCTCCTGCTTTGAAGAAAAGGAGAAAGAAAACAAAAAGTTAAGCGACCCTCCCCTGCGCCCCAGTGCTTCTGATCCTGCCAGTGCTTCCATACTGCCTGTGACCTCCATCACAGCCTCGCAGGGGGACACGTGCTGGGATGTGGTGTTCTCACGGCGTTTTAGGGAGGGGGCAGCTGTGCCATGTAGAGGAGAAGCTGCTTTTCTTTGCAAGGCCCTCTTCTTTGAACTGGCATTGTGGTTAACCAGCCTTTGGCCATGAGATATTTGATGGGAACCAGAGTGCCTGGAGCGGAGACACCAACTGCTCAGGTGCTGGAGAAGCTCAGGGCAGCTCTGGGAGCATCCAGCATTCACACACCTGCTGTGTCACCTGGGAATCTGTACACCCTTGAAGCAGGCTGGGCTCTCTGAGTTACGGCTGCAAAGTTAGCTTCTCAGTAGCAGGATGGCAGCTATGTTTGTACTAGCAGGTGTCAGAAAGACCATTTTTGGCCACCCTTCAGTGCTGCAGTAAGTTGGCTTGTTTTTTATTCTCAGGCCAGGATTTTTTGCACCCAGTTTCTCAGCTGTGGAGCAGGCAGTTTCTCCAGAAGCTGTGTTTTAAGTAACCCATTTTGTAGGAAGGAGGAGGGGAAAAAAAAAAAAAAAGCTCTGAAACCTGGCCAGTTTCCCTAGCTGCTGGGAACAGAGCAGTCCTCTGCCAGCACAGCAATGAAACAGCCTCAGGTCAGCAGGGAAAGGATGAGCTGACACTGAGGTGATGAGCCAGCTGCTGAGATGCCCTGTCATTCCCTCTCTCTGCAGATCTCAAAGATTTCAAGTTTGATGGCCAGCACGTGATCGAAGTGGATGAAGGGAACACGGCCGTGATCGCTTGCGACCTGCCCGAAAGTCACCCCAAGGCTCAGGTCCGCTACAGCGTGAAGCAGGAGTGGCTAGAGGCCTCCCGAGGTGAGTGCCACAGGGGTCTGGCCTGCTGGGTCCCCTCCCACCACCCTTGGGTTTACCCTTCCCTACCAGCAGTAGCTTTCTCTGCCTGCTCCCTCCTCATTGTCCCTTGGCCACTGGCCTGAGCACAGGTTGGCTTAGGGCCTCTGCCAGGTCCCCCTGATCACAGAAACACAGAATTGTCTAGGTTGGAAAAGACCTTGAAGATCATCCAGTCCAACCATTGACCTAACACTGACTGTTCCCAACTCCACCAGATCCCTCAGCGCTGGGTCAGCCCGACTCTTCAACCCCTCCAGGGATGGGGACTCCCCCCTGCCCTGGGCAGCCCATTCCAACGCCCAACAACCCCTTCTGCAAAGAAATACTTCCTAAGAGCCAGTCTGACCCTGCCCTGGCGCAGCTTGAGGCCATTCCCTCTTGGCCTGGAGCTGGTTCCTTGGCTCAAGAGACTCATCCCCCCTCTCTGCACCCTCCTTTCAGGGAGCTGTAGAGGGCCAGGAGGTCTCCCCTCAGCTTCCTCTTCTCCAGACTAAACCCCCCCAGTTCCCTCAGCCGCTCCCCATCAGACCTGTGCTCCAGACCCTGCACCAGCTCCCTTGCCCTTCTCTGGACACGCTTGAGTCATTCAATGGCCTTTTTGGGTGAGGGGCCCAAAACTGAACCCACTTATTGAGGTGCGGCCTCACCAGTGCTGAGTACAGGGGTAAGATACCTGATATCTGGGAGCGTGGAGCCATGCGTAACGCCAGCTTGCGGTAAGGCAAAAGGAGGCAGAATTCAGTGATGCACAATGTCACTCGTCACTGGGCGTCTCCATGAAGCATTCTTGTAGCCCAGTCTGGATAAAGTCAACTTTGCATTTGGGGAAATTTTAAAAATTTGGATCTGAATTTTGCAGCTTTGCTCCTGTACATTCCTGTGACAAGCTAGCTTGGCCTGAGGCTCTGTTCCTTCTATCACTGCATCATTGCTCTCCCTGATATTTGAACCAAAAGGGGTCATTTCAGTGCCATTGGTGTTACCGTGCTGTTTTTTCCTTTCCCACTTGTCAACCTTTTCTTCAGGGCACTGCATGTCTTCCAGGAGGCTGGACAGGAGCAAACCTTGTGACCAGGTGCCACCTCCTCTTCTCTCTCTACAGACAATTACCTCATCATGCCATCCGGGAACCTTCAGATCGTCAATGCCAGCCAAGAGGATGAGGGGACATACAAATGTGCTGCCTACAACCCTGTGACGCAGGAGGTGAAAACCTCGGTCTCCAGTGAGCGGCTCCGTGTGAGACGTAAGCTGCTCTCCCTTCACTGCACATCTTCCAGCCCTGGGAGCATGTATGTGTGCTCTCACAGGCGGTTCTCTCTGGGAACCAACATTAACAGTTGCTGGGACAACTCCTTTCCAGCAGCAGAAGGCCCCAAGCTCTGCTCCTGGGGTATGTGCGTGTGCAGCCCTAGGATTGCTGTAGCTCCTCGGGATTTGTTCTTGGGGATGGGTGAGCAAAGGCCTTCAACCCTTAAGGAATGGCCCTCTTGGTTTGTGTTGCCATTTATTCACCCCAGGGTAGGGCAGCAGTGCACCACCCCTACCATCACCCCTCCCTGCTGTCCCACTGGCTGCCTGCCTTCCCACCCACCTCCTTCCTCCTCCTCTCCTCACCAGGCTCCACAGCAGAGGCAGCCCGGATAATCTACCCCCCCGAAGCTCAGACCATCATTGTCACCAAGGGCCAAAGCCTCATCCTGGAGTGTGTGGCCAGCGGGATCCCCCCACCACGGGTCACCTGGGCCAAGGATGGCTCCAGTGTCTCTGCGTACAACAAGACACGATTCCTGCTCAGCAACCTCCTGATCGACCCCACGAGCGAGGAGGACTCAGGCACCTACAGCTGCACAGCTGACAATGGGGTTGGGGAGGCCGGAGCCGCGTTCATCTTCTACAACGTGCAGGTGTTTGGTGAGTGCTGCTGTAGCCCTTGTTTCAGGAAAGGCTTGGACTTTCTCTGCCGCTGTCAGGGAAAAATACTGGTGCTGCTGTACTCTTCCTCTCTGTGGACAAACCACAATACACTGCAAACTTGTGGTTCCAGTTTCTAGGAGTTGGGACAATTTCTTCCTTGAGGGTGGTAGTTCCCACTGTGGCTGGAGATGGTGGATCTTCCCTACATCTGCAGAAAAGATTCTGTTGTCGCTTGTGGCACTGGGTTTGCTCTGACACTTTCTAGTGGAGGACTGGCTGCTGCTCAGACATATTTTACATTGCCATAGGGAAGACATCAGTGTCTCTTGCTTTTTGTTCTGTAGGGAAATTCTCTTTATGGAGTGGGAAACTACACCTTAGACATTTCTACCGTGCATCCTTCTCTTCCTCACAAGCATTAGGGAGGCTAAGCCTGTTTTTAGTGGATGTACCAATGTGTTGTTTTGGCACAAGCACGGTCTTTGCAGAGTAGCAATACAGATCAGAAAAATGGGACTTGTAGGTGGCTGCTGTCATGTGAGAGGGACAGATGGCCTTGGGCCACCTCCCCTTGTGGTTCATGTGGATGCTGAAGGGGAAGTACAAGGAAGCAAACTCCTATGGGCCCCCATGAAGGGAGTGGGACTTGGGGTGGGGTAAGGATCCATCACTCTGCCCTCGTCCCTGCCAGAGAGAAAAGCACAAAGCCACAACCATGCCATGCTCCCTGCCAAGGGGCACTCACCAGCCATGGTTTTCTTTCCCTTGCACAGAACCCCCAGAGGTCACCATGGAGGTGTCCCAGCAGATCATTCCCTGGGGCCAGAGTGCCAAGTTCACCTGCGAGGTGCGAGGAAACCCCCAGCCCTCCGTGGTGTGGCTGCGCAACGCCGTGCCCCTGTCCGGCAGCCAGCGGCTGCGGCTGTCCCGCAGGGCGCTGCGCCTGCTCAGCGTGGGGCCCGAGGACGATGGCATATACCAGTGCATGGCCGAGAACGAGGTTGGCAGCGCGCAGGCCATGGTGCAGCTGAGGACAGCCCGCCCAGGTGAGTGTCCCTCTCCAAGCATGGGACCATTCAATCCCAGAGCCTAACTGACAGAGAAAGAGCCAGAGAAGAAGGTTGGTGTGTAACCTTCCCACCTGTGCTCTTCCCTCCCTTTTACCCTACGCTTCGAGTGCTTTTTTGGCTGGGATCTCCACATCTCCCTGTAGGAGATTGGTAGTGGTTTTGCTTGTAAGCGCAGCGCCGTGTGTGCGTACTCACACTGTCTCTACATGAGAATCCCAGAATCATGTCGTTTGGAAAATCCCTTGAAGCTCCTCCAGTCCAACCATGAACCTCACCCTGACCATTCCCAACTCCACCAGATCCCTCAGCGCTGGGTCAACCCGACTCTTCAACCCCTCCAGGGATGGGGACTCCCCCCCTGCCCTGGGCAGCCCATTCCAACGCCCAACAACCCCTTCTGCAAAGAAATACTTCCGATGAGCCAGTCTGACCCTGCCCTGGCGCAGCTTGAGGCCATTCCCTCTTGGCCTGGTGCTGCTTCCTTGGTCCAAGAGACTCGTCCCCACCTCTCTACAACCTTTCAGGGAGTTGGAAAGGTGTAGGACATCCAGGTGTAGGGCCTTACCCCAGGGCTTACTCAGCTCTGCCTCTGAGTTTACACTGAGCAAGGGCATAAACACTGATGTTGGTGGATCCACCTGGGGTAAGAGAGAAATCACCTGATTTCCTAGACCCTGCTGAACTTATCCAGGGTAAAAGGGGCTTCAGAGGGGCAGGAAATCCCATGTGGCCAAGGCCTGTTCTCAGAGAGGCCCCAGTGTGGTGTGTTAGGTTTGTAGCAGGAGAAGGAGAGATTGTTGCCAACACCTTTTTGAGTGGCACAGCAGGCAGCACCATGGGACTTGATACCTCTAATATACCTGCGCTGCAGTGGGTGTAGAGCACCGGTCATCTGATCGTCTGAGAGGCTGAAGGGGCTTGTAGCTCTGCCTTCACCCCAGACTGTGACAGGCATTTACCCTGCCTCCGCACCTTGTCTTTCAGGAGCTACACTCCACTCGGGGCAAGATGCCCATCTGGGCTCGACTCAGCCTCCAACACCACCTTCCAGGGACAGTGCCTTAAAGCTGCCCCTGGACAAAGCAGGACTGCCAAAGCCTGCAACAACCCCGCTGGCAGCATCTCCACAGTGCGCAGCCAACAGGGAGCCGGTATCTCCAGCTGAGGCCCCCATCATCCTCAGTTCTCCCCGGACATCCAAGACAGACAGCTATGATCTGGTGTGGAGACCCCGGCCTGACAGCAGAGCCCCCATCCTCTATTACATGGTGAAGCATCGCAAGGTATTGCTGTTTCACCCCACTCCCATCTTTCCCCTCTGTGCCATTCCTCAGGTGGGCTGGTGGCCTTGCTGCATGTTTTCACACCTGCTGAGCAGGTGCCTTGGGGCAGGGGCACTTATTGCTCGCTGGTGGCACAGGCTGGTGGGGCTTCCTCAGCTGCAGCCTCAGGCTGTTGAGGTGTGACAGTACAGGCTTCAAGAGCTTTGCTGAGCTGTCCAAGAAAAGCCCAATTACGCAGAGGGCATGTATCCAGTCTGAAGAGCTTCCACTTGCAATTCCCTGTTGTGTGCTTATACAAGTAGGAAGTCCCAATGGCAGGTTGTGCAGTGACTTGCTCCTTAATGCTTTTGCCTTGGCACAAGCCATGGGGACACCTCTGCCTTGAAAAGCTTGGGCTGTAGGACACACTGCTGCAGCCTCTCTCTGCTGCACCTACTCAGCAGCACTGAAGCACCCACGCTCCATAACTCTGAGGAGCCACCAGAGAGCTGACTCAGCCGTGCTAAATCCTCTGGGAAGGTCTTCAACCAAGGGTTTTATTCTGGAAGTTGAATGGCGGTGCACTACCGAGTTCTGCCTGGGCCCAAGGGCTCTCTGCAGCGCTTCTCAGCACTGCAGGCAGAGCTGGAGCCCAGCAGTTTCTCTAAATAACAAAGCATTGCTGAGGCAAAAATTCTGCTTTTGAGGTGTAGAGCATTTCTTCCCATTTTGCTGGGGATGAGTGGGGAAAAAAGGGGCTTGAATTTATCCGTTTACTGCTTGTATTTCCTTTGGGTAGGGAAGGAGCTGCAGTAGGGAGACAGGATTTTGCTTTGAGGTTTGAGTACATTCCAGATCTGGCATGTTTTGGATTCCCAGCCATTGTAAAGCACCATTTTCAATTATACGTGAATACATGTATCTGTTTTCCTGGAATTGTTTGATTTTGTGAAAATACAGTATAATAGGAGGCTGTTATAATCCTTGCACACCCTTGATTTCTTTCTAAACAAAGCTTAAGCTGAGGGTTCCAGCTAACCGTGTCTGTAAAGAGCTCTTTAAAACAAAGGCAGAAGATGACAGCACAATAGGGCAAGCTTAAATAAAAACCAAAAGATGCCAAAAGCTTCACCAGACTATTGCTTCTGGTTGTCTGGCAAAAATAGATTTGTCCCCAATGGTGTATAGTGCAACTACCAATTCTGCATGCGATCTTAACTTGCAGGCTGGAGTTTGTCCATATTTTATTTGTT